ATCTGAATTACAGGTCAGACCCGTAGACCAGAGCTTTGTCTGACCACTGATTTTTTTTGGGGGTCAAATTTCTTTAAATAACAAAAAATTTTTGAGTTGTAATTGAGTTGTCATTAGGAGTTTTTAGTCTTTGGTGCCTATTGTGGAATCTGTCATTTTTATTTATTGGATTTGAATTTCTGATATACAGTAAGAACATTCCCTTTTTGCAAAATGCTAGCCTGGCCCTTGCCTTCCTATGCAGTTCCATTCAATTCTAGTTTCTCTGCACTGCGAAGAACAAGTGGCTGTTTTTTTTACCAGGGTAGTATGATGCATTTAACAGTCAACGTGACTACAATTTATCTAAATAAAAATATTTTTTGTGTATTTTTTGAATAGGGTGCTTTAAGGTTTTACAGAATTCAAAAGTCTTCATGTAACTGTCAAAAAAATGTAATATCAAACACACTATATATCTCAGTTGAATTTGTTATTAACAGTTAATTAAAACACTCAATCCATAAAATCTATTTTGTTTTCAACCTGTTACATCTTAGTCTGGTAGAGTCATAAATATCAAAATGTATTTAAAGTCCATTTTATACAAATTAAAATACAATTTATTTTGATGAAAAACAGTATAATGTATATATAAAATGCCAACTACTAAAAAGTTATTGATTCAAGAAAGCAATACTGTTGCCTATTTTCAGAAAATCCAGGCTCAGGATGTGCAGATGTCTTCTTTTACTGACTAGAGGTGGAAAGAACACAAAAAAAGAGTTCATGTTGGCAAAAACTTCAAAAATATGCATAGGATACATAGACAACACAACAGTAAGGAGATACAGTGTTTCCTCAAGAAGCCTGAGTTTTTACAGCAATTATAAGAAAAATAAATCTCCCAACTAATTCCTGTGAAAAGCAAACTGGGCATGAGTCACAAAGTCAAAACTGATTTTTGCCTTAAAGTGTAAAAGGTCTCTGTCATACATGTTGTTGGGCACATGTACAAATCACAATGGCTGCTGACTCAGCTGTAACTACCAATGATTATTTTACTGCAAGTCCTTACCAAAATTCAGTATCTATCCAAACACAGAAACTTTTAAATGTCCATAAGAGAGTTATTCTCTGTGATGAATAAAACATACACCTAAAAGAGGAGAATACCAAACACTTCAAAGTGAGAGGAAAGTAGCATTGGAAAGAACTCACACAAGCGTATTAGGTGAGAGATCAAAACTGTTGCAGCTAGAAGTAAGAGTTATCCCATCTCAAATATTATATCACCTTCTTTCACTAGTTTTTGTCCACTGTTGCATTTTTTGTCCCATCAGAGTGAAGTGGGGAATTGGAAATACCTTCCGTCTGTTTTCTTGTGAACTGGATAACTTGCAAAAAAAAATGAGGTACCAACTTTTGTTTTGGTTTGTGGCAGCATCTAAAGCCCCCCTCCTCACCAGCGCGCCTGTATTTGGTTCTGCTCGATTCAGCCTCGGCCAAACGTGTCTCCGATTCCAGTTACAGCAGAGCACAACCATGCACTCAGACCATTTCTGACATCAGCAGCCCGTGATTGATAGAGGCAACGTGTTACACATGCAAGCTTATTCTGCAAACTTCCTCCTGGAGAGAAACACTTTTGTTTTGGATTCTTACAGTGACACGACAAAAGCAGTGATGAAACCATGGTCCGACCTGGAGGTGCAAACCTTTTTGGCWATCTTGGGAGAGGCAGAACTAGCAAACACTTCCTTGGAGAGAGGTGAAGGAGACGAGCTCTGAATGAAGCTCTGTCCTAAAATCAGCAGATATCTCAGGAAGTTTTGGACAACCTGGGTGCCCACGGTTACACAAGCATTTATAAACAGCACCGTGGTAAAGAATAAAGTTCAATTACCGGACGATAAACCACAATGGCCATTTTTTTTCTGTCACTTTTTTACCACAACAGCTGAAGCCGCCGCTGACAATCCACCCACAACCATATCCACAGAGTTAGGGACACACTGAGATGGACACACACACACACACACACACACACACACACACACACACACACACACACACACACACCTTAACAGAACCGAAGAGACCAGAACCGAATAAAGTGAGGCTTGACAATAAATGTAAGAATTTCAAGTGAACTTTGTTTTGTTTAAAAAGTTTCTCTGTGTGATTAGGGTGGCCGAATATTAATCCATAGCGGTCAAGGCCACCCTTGGCCACACCACATCCTGGCTCTGCCATTGCAGCTGGTGAAGGATAAATTTGCTTCCTCCACTGACCAGGATCTGTCACTTTG